GGAAGTTAATAAAATGTAAGGGAAAGCGCCAAAGCTATGGAGCATGTTGTGAGGAAACTGAATTGAGTGCTAGGGCTAACGTAGTACCACCCAAATTAAGTCAAAATCATACATTATATCAGGACCCTCGACTGTACATAGTTTAGATGTCAGAGTTTCTACAGAGTAATTATTTGAACATCACTGAAGTCAAGACACATGGCTAAAATAAATACTTTTTGCTACTTCATAAAAAAGAATGATAGTCTCTACTTTTTTACTTCCTAGTTCATAAGTCTGTCAGAGGAATATGTGCCTTTTTTGCTATTCACCTACATTGGTGCAAACAGCTTGGAAATTCTTATCATTGGGGCTGATGACATTGTGTTGGATACACATTAAGTGTATAGAAATTTTGCTTTTGTATTTTTTGCATAGAAGAGTAATAATTAAGATCAGTAGTCAGTGTCTCTTAAATTCTACCCAGATAAGGGCACATGGTTGGGAGGGGGTTCAAAATTTGTAAAATATGTCATAGTATACATTTAAAAATTTTTTCAAAGTACACTTAAAATAATATTTTCTTTTAATTTCAGACTTATAGATGTTGAAAAATAGTGTACCCTTTACCCAGATTCCTGAAATGTTACATTTTACCACATTAGTTTATTCTGTTTCTTGTTCTTTCTCTTGCTATATATCTAATATATAATATATATTAACATATATATATAGTAGTATATATACACACACATAGGCACCACATATTTTTCCTGAATCATGTAAGAATAAGATGTAGACATAATGCACTTTTACTTCTAAATACTTTAGTGTGTATTTCCTTATGAGAAGACATTCCCTTACACATAGCCACAGTACAATTTTCAAGATCAGAAAATTGGCATTGATCAGTGCTGTTATCTGAGCTACAGGGTATTTTCACGTTGGCCAGTTGTCCCACTGTATTCTTTTATATAAAAGAAAAAACTTATTTTTTTCCAGTCCAGGATCTAATAATCCAGAAGTCTTCTTTAATCTGAAACAGTTCCTCTGTCAAACTTTGATTTTCATGACTTCGACATTTTTTAATAACACAAGCCATTTATTTTGTAGAATTTCCCTCAGTTTGGGTTTGTCTTGTTTTTCCTCATAAGATTCATTCAGTTTATGCATTTTGGGTCAGAGTACCACAGAAGTGATGTTATCATACCAGAAATCCATAGAGGCCTATGGCATTTCCCTCCAAAAACATTTTTTAAAAATTACCAGTTTTTTGTTTTTGTTTTTACGTATTTAATAATTTTTTAAAATTCTTTATTGTTTAAAGTATTACATGAGTCTTCTTTTTCTCCCATTGACCTCTCCCCAGCTGTTCCCAGCCCCCAGCACATGCCCTCACCCTCCTACTGTTCTGTGTCCATGGGTTATGTTTATATGCATGCATACAAGTCCTTTAGTTACTCTCTTACCTCCCTCTCCCCTGCCAGTTTTAATGTTACGTGGAAAGCAGAGTCAGAGAGTCTTACATTTGTCAAGATATTATACTCTGTTATATTCATTCTCCAGTTGCTTTCTCTTAAGAAAATGTGTGGCCTTTTTGCCAGTGTATGTTTCTTGGCATCTAGAAGGGTTAAGGAATCTGGAGAAGGGGCTGCGGTAAAATAATCAAGAGTCCAGAGACGAAACAAATTTGGAAGGCATTTTGGGGAGCCAGAGGAGACTTAGCTAAAGAAACAAAGTCCTTGGACAAAAATCGTGCACCTATGGATGAGGACAGTGGGTGGGGAGTGAGGGCGGAGGGTGGGGTGGGAACTGGGAGGAGGGGAGTTATGGGGGGGAAAAAGAGGAACAAATGTAATAATCTGAACAATAAAGATTTATTTAAAAAAAAAAAAAAAAAGTCCTCCTGTCTCTCTGGACCCCTTGGTTTTTATTAACACAAATTGTCCTAAAGCAAGGTAGATATACATATCAAAGGCAGAGTTTAGTATACAGAATCCATTGTCAGATTGGAGGAACTGCCTTCGGCTGTTCAGGTGTTTGGCCAGCAGGAGGCAATAACATGTAGATTGAAATGCCCTCAGCCGCCTGGCAGCAAGCAATCATTTATGCATCCTTTTCAGGTTTAGGGAAATGCCCTTAGCCATTTCCAACAGGCAATAATATGTATTTTCCATCCCTTGCTGAAGGCTCAAGGTCCACCAACCTTTTAATGAACTTCTTGCATTTATGACCTGCTGGAATTAGCTTCCAGCATCTTTTAGTTAGCTTTTACCAAGTGGAAATTGCTGAATAAAATCAGGATAGAGGCAGAAAAAAAGAGCTGGTGTATTGAGCTTTAAGTGTAAGGTTTAGAGTATATATTTTATGTGAATGAGCATGGGCCATTGCAAGGATTGGGCTTTTAAACCCTTGGTCAAGAACAATAAATTATTTATTCTTGGAGTACTTCTGCCAAAACACTGAAATCAATACACTGTTCTCCTTTTAGAAGTTTTACACCTTTCCAAGGCAAACATTCAAATGTATTGCATAGGGAGGTAAGAGAAAACCCTATTTTATCTGACAGAAGTAAAAGACATTTAAGTTTATTAGAACAATATTCAGTATTTATTATACTGTTTAAAATATTAACCCTTTCTATATTAATGCTAGTTCATACTGCCTCTTTGAATGATCAAGAAACAGAACTTGCAACCTGCAGTATAGTTTATTTGGCTCCTATCAGCAATAAAAGTAGTTTTTAGTACTGACGTGACTTTGTCCAATCCTCCGTTTCCTTCACCCTCCAGTAGATTTATGATAATCTGTTGCTCTACTAGTAATCTAGGCAGTGTTTATTGTGATTGGGGAAAGTTCAGAATCTAGCTTTGCCAGATGATAGTTTTGTGAAGTGGCTTAACATTTATGATAGTTTATCTGTAAATAAAAGGGAATGAGTCATTTTAATCACCAGACTGCAAGTCTTAAAGTCATACAATAAAATAAGCAGGTTTTTTTGTGTTATATTTTTACAGTGTTTGTTTAAATATTAGTATAGTGCCACTCTATATTCTCTATCAATTAGTTATATTTCTATTAAAATGACACAATTCTAGATTTTTGCCTTTGGTATAAAATCTATATTACTGCTACATAATTTAAAGATGTAATTTGTAATTATTTATGCTGAAATCACCTATTTGAAATTATGCACCAGCTTTTCTAAGTTTTTAGGGATTTAGAAAAATTTCAAATGTTTCTTTACTTATATGTCTTTATTATAAGGTGTGGCATCCTAATATATAAAAAGCCAGGGGCCGTCACGACTGAAACAATCGGACAGACAACTGAAACAATCGGACAGACGACCGAACGGCAGGTTGCGTGGGGCAACAAGGCCGGCAGGGGGGTTGGTGAGGGACGACCAAACGACTGAATAGCAGGCTGCGTGGGGCAACGAAGTCTGGCAAAGGGGTTAGTGAGGGACGACCAAACGACTGAACAGCAGGCTGCGTGGGGCAACCAGGTGGGGGGGGGGCAGTAAGGGGTGACCAGGTCGGCAGGGGGGGCAGTTAGGGGCAACCAGGCCAGTGGGGGGGGCAGTTGGAGGTGACCAGGCTGGCATGGGGGGGGAGTAAGGGGCGACCAGGCTGGTGGGGGGGCAGTTAGGGGCAGTTAGGGCTCCCCAGGGGATTGGGCCTAAGCTGGCAATCAGATATCCCTCTGGCAGCCCAGGAGCCCTCAGGGGATGTGTACCTGCTGGCTTAGGCTCGCTCCCTGGAGATCAGGCCTAAGCTGGCAGTCAGACATCCCTCTGGCAGCCTGGGAGCCCTTGGGGGATGTCCGACTAATGGCTTAGGCCCGTGGTCGGCAAACTGCGGCTCGCGAGCCACATGTGGCTTTTTGGCCCCTTGAGTATGGCTCTTCCTAAGCCTTAGGACAGTGATGGCGAATCTTTTGAGCTCGGCGTGTCAGCATTTTGAAAAACCCTAATTAACTCTGGTGCCCTGTCACATATAGAAATTTTTTGATATTTGCAACCATAGTAAAACAAAGACTTATATTTTTGATATTTATTTTATATATTTAAATGCCATTTAACAAAGAAAAATCAACCAAAAAAATGAGTTCGAGTGTCACCTCTGACACACGTGTCATAGGTTTGCCATCACTGCCTTAGGAGTACCCTAATTAAGTTAATAACAATGTACCTACCTATATAGTTTAAGTTTAAAAAATTTGGCTCTCAAAAGAAATTTCAATCATTGTACTCTTGATATTTGGCTCTGTTGACTAATGAGTTTGCCGACCACTGGCTTAGGCCATTAGTCAGACATCCTTAGCGCTGCCGTGGAGGCAGGAGAGGGTCCCGCCACCACCGCTGCTCTGGCCAGCCATGAGCTGGCTTTTGTTTGAGTGGCGCTCCCCTCTTTTGCTTATCTGCTCCCTGGTAGTCAGTGTGCACCATAGTGACCGGTAGTTCCCGGTTGTTTGGCCTGTAGTGTCAATTTCCATATTACTCTTTTAATAAATAGGATATTCAACATTTAAAGATGACTTGTCCAAATTTACTTAGCTGTCTCGGACTAGAGTCTATGAGGCAGGCTTATTTTTGATACTCTAGTATGAGTTTGAAAGATGCCCTGGCTGGTTTGGCTCAGAGGCTAGAGCATCAGCCTGTGGACTGAAGGGTCCCAGGTTCGATTCAGTCAAGGGCACATGCCCGGGTTGCGAGCTTGATCCCTAGCTGGGTGCGTGCAGGAGGCAGCTGATCAATGATTCTCTCTCATCATTGATGTTTCTATCTCTTCCTCTCTGAAATCAATAAAAATATATTTTTTAAAAAAGGACATACCATAATCACTTTGCCTTATTTCCAAATTTTACATAATTTTTTCTTAACTTGGGTCATTTTCTTAATTTCTCTATTTTATTGTAATGATTTCTAGTGATACTATTACTAATGAACTTGTAAGTAGGTTACATAGTTCACCATTGTTTCTCATAAAACATAATCATCATTCCTCTTTTGCTTATAGGAACTCATTACACAATGACAAATGGAGGCAGCATTAACAGTTCTACACATTTACTGGATCTTTTGGATGAACCAATTCCAGGCGTTGGTACATATGATGATTTCCATACTATTGATTGGGTCCGGGAGAAATGTAAAGACAGAGAAAGGCATAGACGGGTAAGTATTTTCAGTTATTTACAAAAATATAGTCATAATTAGATCCTTTAGTAATATATTTCTGCCAGTGATCTCAGACTGTCAAAATATATGTTATACATTAAAGTAATTTTAAGCACTTTTTTTTTTTTTTTAGTTTATTTATACCCCATATCTTTCCAGAAAGGATTTGAGGTAGCTTAAAAAAAAAAAAAAAGGTGTGTAGTAAGACAAAATAGAAAGGAAAAGGAAAACAGGGTCCACGAGGGGGGGAGATTAAGCCAAGTTCAAGATTTGGAAGTCAGCATGATTTTGGGCTTTGATCAGCACAGCAGCTATGGCAAAACAGGAAACGTTACATAATTCTCATTATTCAAAAGTAATTACTTTCTGGGGACATAGTTTTATGCGGTATTGCTCTTTTATCTCTTTTCTCAGTTTTTAAATTCTGAAATGTTTCTCAAATTGATATTGAGTGTTGTAATGAATCGCTATTCAAAAAAACGGCTTTTATTAAAGAGTACAACTTATGGATCTTTCTTGTTATGGGTTGTGACTTACTGGTATAATGTAATCCAAAAATACATTTAAAAAAAAAAAGAGATAGAAAGAAAGAAATCTCTTTGACAGCAAAATTTTAAATTCCAAAAAGCCCTTCGTAACTTTATGGTCTGCAATCTATATATATATCAAAGTCTAAGTGTCCGTCCAACCATCCGACTGGTAGCTATGATGCACACTGACCACCAGAGGGCAGACGCTGTCATGATGCGCACTGGCCATTTACAAAGAAACGGCAGCGTGGACCTGGTGCCCACAAACACTTGCTTCCCCCAAATGGGACACACCCCACCACCACCCCGGAGCGACACCCCACCAAATTGCAGCCAACGCTGCCAAGACCCCATGGCGCAAAATGCGGCCCACAGCCCAGCCCGGAAACAGTGGCTGTGGGTGCCAAGTAATGACGTCATGTAGCTATGTCCAGCTTCCTCTCCCTAGCCACTAGCTTCCTTGAAGTTTCTTCAGCCCAGGAACCTAACTTGCTTTATAGCCAGGTGCAAACATTTTACAGTTTAACCAAATGTCTGTGAAGCATTTTCACATGCCTCATCTCATTTGATCCTCACAGAAGTGCTGGAGAAGGTAGATAGGAGACTCAGTAGAATCCTATTTTCTTTTCATTAGCTGGAAGACAGAGATTTAGAAAGTTTAGAAACTTGACCCGAATGAAAAGAAGTAAGAAATGGTGGAACTTGAAAATGACTTCAGGTTTTCTCACTGTGCAGAATATAGTTAAACACTGCTGCAGTTAAATATTTTACCCTTTGTTCTCCCTGCGTGATCTACAATAATAATCTGCTTCTTGTTGATATTTACTGCTGTGTTGCTGACAGTTACCTGAGAGAGAAGTTGGGGTGCTTCACTGGACCAGAAAAAGTTTAGCTAAATCAGAAAGCAGGTCTAATTAAGCAAGTTTATTATATAAAAGGCTAAGTTGACTCGCACATGCACGATACATATAAAGCTCTTGCTGGTGCTCTCCTAGGGGATAGTTGAGCACTGAAGTCCTACTCAGAGGATATTGCTCCTCCTCCCCCTTTTTTTAGCCAATTTTATCTCTGTGCTGGTAGTAATGAAGTTTCTAGAATATGGCTTTTTTCCCCTTTTTATTGAATTTATTGGGGTGACACTGGCTATCAAAATTATACAGGTTTCAGGTGCACAATTCCACAACACATCATCTGTACTATATTGTATGTTCACCACCCCAAGTCAAGTCTCCCTCCACCACCATTTATCCCCTCATACCTTCCTCCAGCCTCCCCCACTCAACCCCTCCCCCAGTAATCAACACACTGTTGTGTCCATGAGTTTTTTTCTTTCTTTTTTGTTCAATCCTTCTACCCCCTCCTCAGCCCCTCACCCCCCAGCTGTCAGCCTGCTCTCTATGAATCTGTCTCCTTTTTGCTTGTTAGTTAATTTTGTTCATTAGATTCCACATATGAGAGGAATCGGATGGTACATGTCTTTCTAGAACATGGCTTTTTAAAGCAGCAATCCTAGTTAAACAGGTTTAGATTTAGAAGTGCATTCTTATTAAGAGAGGAGGACTTGGCTTCCTGTGTCTTAGTAGAGTGAGATCTGGAAACCAAACCTGTTAACACCATGCTAACCTCACCTCCTCCACAATATTCAGTGGAGGATACATCTGCCTTACACAGTGATAAAGGAGGGCCTCTGGACCTGCCAGTGGGATGGGAGCTCTTCATTCCTGCATATTTACAGACCTATACATTTATTTGTAAATTTATTTTGATAGTCCCTTTAGTTACATGATTGTTTTGTACTACATTAATGGGCATGGAACTGTTATTCACTGACCTTACCTTTTAAAGAATGTAATAATCCACTTAGCTTCTAGGAACAGAGAATGACTAGGGAATGATCCACATTTCAAGCTTTAATGCCTTATTTCTGTGAATATAAAAGATGCATACCAGCTAAATTTGATACGGTTTAGACCAGTCTGTGTCAGACTTTATATGGTTTGTGGATGGATCCCTTGGCTCAAATTCTGAAGTTCTTACTAAAATATATATCTCTGAGTAAATGTTTGTCATTGGTTTACAGGTATAGCAACTGATAGTGGTTCCGCCCCAAACTCACCTTCCCCATTATTTAGTGTAGAAAGTACTGTCCTGTGTGTAATAACTGAGAAAATTGTTATATTCTAGAATTGTGGCTTCTAGTCAAAGTTTGAAAATGAAGCATAAGCATTTCTAATTTCAGATCAACAGCAAAAAGAAAGAATCAGCATGGGAAATGACGAAAAGCTTGTACGATGCGTGGTCAGGATGGCTAGTGGTAACACTGACAGGATTGGCATCCGGTAAGGAAACTTTTAATGCCGTCTTTTCCTGGTTAACAGAACAATACGTAGGTCTCTCTCCTTTCCACAATTTTTTTTCAGGTATTGTTGGGTTTTTAAAATCATTTTTATTTTGTTTCTTTCCTCCAAAACTCTTCTGAAACACAAGACTAGAAGGCAGGAGGCTTCTGCATCTCATTAAGGCTCTATCCAATTTTTTAAATCTTTCTGGGCTCAGTTT